AATTTTTTAAGCACTATAGTTAACACTTGGAAGCAAGCAAACAATACAATATCATAGAGAGAAGAAGCAGATGCTCAGCATGTTTAGCCTCTCTGTTCTAGGTCCTGCTTCTGCACTCACAAAACAGCAATGGGCCCTAGCATGACCTGCCAGGAAGCTGGGCCAAGGTCATCGCTCGGGGTTGCCTGGACACTGCCCTCGCCCTCCAGATAAAGAGGATTCATCTGAAGCAGGGACACAGATTAAGAGAGAGAATTTTTCTCTTCTGAGGGTGGCACTGGATTCCTAAAGACAACGAAGGGTAGACAGGATGAAATTCAAAGAGGCATGTGGTTGGTCAGAGGATGTGTGGAGAAAATGAATTGCATTTTGGAATGCAGTGGAATAGGAATAACACCTTCCAGGCATGAGTCTTCGTGTCTGGATTGTTTCCTCATTTTCCTCCCCTTCTTGTTCCTCACTGCCCTTCAGACCTCAGCTGACCTTATTGAAGAAGTCATCCTTGTCCCTAATTCCCTCTCTGCCCACTACATCATCATTTTCCACACCTACACTGCTTGGGCCATGTTGTTTATAATGGCCACCTCCTATCATCCTGCTTCAACGTACAATGCAATTTATAGACAGGACTGCCTCGAGTCCTTCTGACAATATAAACAGTGTCTCAGCAAGCTTGCTGTTATCTGCCTCATTTAGAAAGTTTGAAGTTGTTAATTTTCTTGAAATCAAAATTTTAAGTGAAGTTATGATTCAAATATGGTAATGTCTGCTCTTAACCTTTATTCTAGTGTTTTACAAAGTTTTCTATTTAGAACAATTGTATAATATTAAATAGTAATCCCTGAAGAGGAAAAAAAAAGTTTATACTTCAAGAAAACATGTCTTTGGTCAGGCTAGAACGAAAAAAATGCCTCTAAATATGGCGTGTGGTACCTTGCAATACCAGTGCGCCCCGGTGGGGGTGCTGTTAGCATTTTAGTCAGAGAACGTACACCCCAGGAGGTTTAGTATCCCTGGTCCTTGCCAGCTACATGCCAGTGGGGTCCTCAGTCAGTACGCAATTGAAAATCCTCCGTGTCTAAATGTGCCCTTAGGATACGGATGTTACTACAAGCGGGTGGAGACAACTAATTTTAGACAATAATTACCATGAAGTCAGGGGCTGTGTTTCTCCTCCTCATGATTGCAGCCGGGAATCTGGCTCACTGTAGCCCTTTGGTAGATATTGAGAAATCAGCTAATGGATAAACGTGGGATGACTGAGAGATGGACAGCATTTCACCATCACGTTGGATGTTATCTCTCCTGGTCTCATTATGCATCCTGTCTATATATTCTCAGCATGGCTGTGATATTATTTGGTGTTCATTGTATATTAGATACATGAATCAAACTTTTGTCATTTCTCACAGCAATTAAGTCAGACTACTTTAATCCAAACATGACATTTTCTATCTCATGAGCTTCTGTTGTGGTCCTATCTTTACACTCTAAGTTACTTTACACACTAAGGGTTTCATTTAATTCATATTGGGTCAGGGAGTATTATCCAGTATTGCCTATTAATAAGTGCCAATCATTCATCCTCTCCCTTTCTATCATGTGTGATTCTCTTTCATGAAGGTTTGTTTTTTGAGACAAGGTCTTGCTATGAAGCTCAGGCTGGTCTTGAACTCATTATGCAGCTGAGGCTGGCAATCCTCCTGTCTCAACCTCCTGAGTGCTGGGATTACAGGCATGCCTCACCATGCCCATCTCTTTCATGTCCTTTTATTCTTTTCATTCCTAATGGTGGTGACCCCATCATGTTGCTCTTTCAGACTGTCTGCCTTGTCATCTTGGCCACTTGAGAAAATTTCCTTTTTCTTATCTGAAACACAATCTCAACAGAAAAATGGGTAGGGATTCCTAGTGGCCTCTGTGTCTACTGTCAAGTTCATTTTGAAATCTGAGTGAAGAGCATATGAGGATCCAAGCCAGTCAGCCCCAGGCTGGGGTTTCCTCTGGCCTTTTCTCGGTCTACCTCCCCCAAATCTGTTCTTTTCATTTTCTTACCTCCCCTATTATTTTCAGTGTCTCTGATAGACATGGGAATAGATATTCAGCAAAGGAGAGGGAAAGTGCGAAATCCCCAAAGCTACCTGGGGAGAGAAATAGGCCTTGGAGGAGCTGAGCCTGCCAAAGAGGCCATAGTGGAACAAAGTACTCCAAAAAAACAAAAACAAAAACAAACAACAACAAAAAAATAAACCCCAAAACAAACAAACATACAAACAAACAAACAAAAAACCAACTGAGATTACAGCCAAGGGCCAGGCAAGCTATTGGCCAAAATGAGTCCAATGGTAACAAAGCAGAGTCAGGGGGAGAGAAAGTGAAAGAATTTGAACATGAAGGCACACAGCCATCAATAAGGCCTGTCTGTACAACGAGGGCAGACTTTCAGAAGAAGCTGTGAGTGTATGGGGGGGGGTGTTAAAAGATTAAGACCTGAAAGGTTAAAGAACAGTATGACAAGCCACTTCTGCTGTGGGGAGATTAAACCCCGTGATTTATATCCAAACTGGGATTTTTGGAAATCACTTGTATGCTGACTGGTCCAGTCCCAAAGCTGAGACACTCGCCCACAAGGACAGCTGAGGTAGCTTCATGCAGAGCTGTCACCATGCTTACTTTACACTGGACTCCATTTTTTCTTATTCTCAATGAATGGAAAAAGCCTAATTTATCAAGATAACCCCAAGCATGAGCTCTTTCTTTAAAGGAATTAAAGCTATGTATGCATGTGGTGTCCACAGACTTAAACAAACTATGCTTTGAATAAAAAGACTATATAAGTAGGCGAGTAATTTCCTGGCCACATGTTATATGAGAGAAGAGTTTAATAGCATGGGTCCAACAGAGTTCTTGCCCTTGGAAGCCTGAGTTCCCAAACTCAAGCCTGTGCTAGACAAGGAACGCAGTAGGACAACAGTGAGACAAGAGGAAATGGTGGAGACATGGCTGGGAAGAGCACATGCTCCACCGACAGAGGACCTTGGCTGTCTCTCCCTTGGGTCACATCCATGCAAAAATAAAGAGCCCACTGTTAACAGTTTTCTAGTTTGTAAGGTTAAGAGGAAAATTCCTGGGGCCAATTATGTCAAGTAGGATTTGAAAAAAGAATAAAAACAAAGCAAAACATGTTTTGCCAAAAGGGTAGGTTCTAAGAACACTAGCCAAGAATGTCATCAGACAGCATTTATAGGAAAATAGGAGTGAGAAATACAAAACAATGGACAATAACCTCATCAACTAACCAATTGTTTACCTGATAGGTAGTTACTCATTGACAGCTTTGTGAATTGTTTACAAGTTTTTATAGCGTTGGGACCAACCCATTCTTTGGTCTCTTGGGCTCAGTGCAGGAGCTCAAGTAAAAGCCACAGCCCTGGGGAAGATGGCACCAGTCTGGCTACAGGTTGACTGGCAGGTACTTTGACCACAAGGTGGTCATCATAGGACGAGCGGCCCGAGCCTGACAAGCTCTAGACTCCAAGCCTTGTCCCCTGAGTTCTTCCCTCGGATGTCCGACAGCCCAGAGCCTGCATGCGCCGTGGGGCGCCCCAGGACCTGGAGCTGGTGGGTCCGGGGTCCTCTGGGCGGGGGTCCCGGGGCGCCCCTCCTCCTTCGGGACCCGTCGTCCCGGTCCTCGTCTTTCCCCCGGATCTAGTATTCAGGGCGGACCAAAGGAGCGGACCCCGGCAGCTGCTGACACTCTATAACCCCACAGGAACTGCGCTTCGCTTCCGAGTTCTGTGCACAGCACCTGCCAAATACACGGTGTTTGACGCAGAAGGATATGTAAGATCTCAGTCCTGCATTGACATTGTGATTCGCCACGTGGCCCCCATTCCCAGTCATTATGATGTCCAGGATCGCTTCCGCATTGAGCTGTCTGAGGAGGGCGCTGAGGGCCGAGTGGTGGGACGCAAGGACATCACATCAGTTCTGCGGGCTCCAGCATACCCCCTTGAGCTTCAGGGACACCCTGAGCCAACACCCCAGCCAGGACCTCCTGCCTGGACAACACCACCTATGGCCAGACACTTCCAGGAGAATCCTCGTCAACAGCTGGCCACCAGCTCCTTCGTCCTCTTCTTGCTGACTGGCATCATCTCTGTGGCCTTCCTGCTGCTTCCACTCCAGGACACTCCTGGCAGCCAGCTGCCACAGGTCCTGCATGTTTCCCTGGGACAGAAGTTGGTGGCAGCTTATGTATTAGGCCTCCTCACCATGGTGTTCCTCCGGCCCTGAGTGCCCCGCTCAACCTCACACCAGCCTCTCCTCACCGGCAGGGACCCGAGGCAGCCACTGTGATGCTCCTAACCTTGCCTCACCTGTCTTCTCCTTCCTGCCCAACCCTTAATGTCCCCTCAAAATACCCAGGGATTTGTATTCATTTTCCAATTTGAATAAAATAAATTTTTAAAATAAAAAAAAAAGCCACAGCCCTTTACTCAGAAGTGCCTCCCCCACTTTCCATTCTTGCTTTCATCTGATGAGGTCTTGACTGAAACCTAGGCTATCAGTGCCAATGTCGGTCTCCATCACCCTCAGTTGCCAGTCCTGATACAACATCCATAGCTTGTAGCACACTCATGATGAGGTGTTTGAGTTCTCATTGCAGCTGAAAAGACCATTGCGTATTTAGCAGATGGCTTCAGTAGACATTTCAGAACTGTCAAGATTATAGTAAACCAGGGAGACTGCTCTTATGATTCTTACAAAATAATACTAAGAGTTTGGAGCATACTCTTTAGCTCAGAAACCCGTGAATCTTGCCAATCAAAATCAAATTATAGAAAAGGAGCCAAATGAAGAAACTATTAATTTTAACCATATAGCCCGTTCATACTTTTTTTTGTACCTGAATATGTATAATATCCAATGTAAGCCAGGTGTGGTGTTATAGACCTGTAATCTCAACACTTGGAAGGCTGAGGCAGGAGGATTGCCATGAATTCAAGGCTTCCTGGGCTACATAGAAAACTTAAGACCAGCCTGAATTACAGAGAAAGACCCTGTATTAAAAAGAAAAAAAAATCCAGGCATGGTGGCACACATCTGTAATCCCAGCACTTAGAAGATTGAGGCAGGAGGATGGCTTCAAGTGTAAGACCAGCCTGGGCTACAAAGTGAGCTCAAGTCCAGCCTGAACTGCATAGCAAGATCCTGTCTTAAAAAAAAGACAAATCTATGTGCCTGTCTGTCTGCCTGCCTGCCTATCTATCTATCTATCTATCTATCTATCTATCTATCTATCTATCCATCCATCCTTCGGCACAAAGTATTAGCAATTGTACAAATTCTTTTATTTAGCTAATAAGTAATCTAGCATATCATAACTAGGTTAAATTAAACCAAAGAGAACAATTTGTCTACAAGGATCCAAAGTTCTGGTTGCAGCATTATCAAATCAGGAAAAAGGAAGGGAAACAGTATGATGTTTCACAGTACAATGAAGCATCTTGTTCTGATGTCTTGACAAAAGCTGGCCATATCTAAAATGTCATCCATTTGGGAGAAAGATTTCTCTGGTCAGCTTTACCTTAAAGTCTCAATAGGCGCACTGTCCCAGGCATGTCTATGCTGGAGAGATCCCTTTAAATTGTGAGATATAGGGCCTGAGCTTGAGGGTTCAAACCTTATCTTAGGGTAGGTAGGAAGATCACTTCCAGTGGGATCAAAAAGCAGCTTGCCTTTACTTCTAGTAGACTTAGTCTTCAGATTCTAGGTCAGGAAAGGTCTGGCTATCGTCAGTTGATAGGTCATGGAGAAATCCCTTGGTCTGGTGAAAGTATCCCTTAGCATGATATGAAAGCCATGCAGGATTTAGTCATATCAGAATTTAGAAGAGTAAGAGCTGCTTAAAACTCTACTATTAAGGATGAAGACCTTCCAGTAAGGTTCTTTCAATAAAAGTAATGATGGTACTTTTGTGGGTTTTTGTTTGTTTGTTTGTTTGTTTGTTTTGCTTCCAACTGAGTTATGTCTTTTTATTCTTTTGGTAATCTCTTCCAGGGTTAACTACTTCCATCATAGGTGATGAAATATGTAAGGCTCCACTTCAAATGTTGGCACTGTTACGAACATAGTCTCTTTCTCTTTTCTGCAACTCGGAATTAAAACTTTGATTTCTGTCTTATATTCCAGCTTCAGAAGTAGTTTCCACTGCAGAAGTTATTTGAAGACAGTCTTTGCTTTTTAGCAGTGATCTGTGACCAGGTTCTACCTTCTCCACAAACACTACAATGAACTTAGTTTAGCTATGCATTAAACTAAGAGGCATTCTCTCAAATGAACTTAAATGCACTTTATTTTCAGACAACCTACATGACCTGTTTTTTCCCTAAAAGACAATGCCTCCATTCCAAATAAATTATGGTTAAAAGAAACAAAACATTCAAGGTGACATCAGTCCCATTTGTCTAAAATCTTGGTGTTGTGTGGATGACAAGCAGCAGCCAGTTATGACAAGTGATAGATCCAAGATTACAAATCCATTAACATTTTTCCATTTCTAAACCATCCTTAAATAAAATCATAAATGGAGTCACACCATCCTCACAGTAGTCCAGGGCAGTAGCCATACCATCAGGACTCATGTTTGCACCAATAAAGAACTGACAGTTTTTGAAATTAGCAAGGATGGGCTTGATTTGCTCTGTAGCCCCCGGCATAAACGATTTTACTCTTTCTGGTCTTTGTTCTTTAAGTTTGCCTTTGATTGATCTCATATAATCTTTGTTGTACTTCTTGTAGGCCTCTTTTGTGAAGCTGGTTTCCTGCAAGTGATGGTTCATTACAATATCTACACCAGTCACTACTGTGCTTTCAGTCCCTTCGCCCTCTGGGCCTTCAGCCGAGGCATTGCCACCAATGACCGCGTCGTCAGTGGCACCCTCTGTTTTACTGACCATCTTGCCCTCTACCTCCAGGCACAGCCCTTCTGCGATCTCCCGGATCTTGTAAATGTCGGCGAACATCTCATCATGGCTGATGAGGTCCCGGTAGATAATCATGATGGTGCTGAGGAAGGTGGCGGCCCCGCAAGCTTAGCAGGAGTCGGGAGCTCAGGGCTTCCGCGGTGCAGCCCGAGCGGTGCTCTCCGGGGAGCGTGTGGGAAAGAATGATGGCACCTTTGGCCAAAACACTCCAACTGACCTTGCCAGTTTCAGTTTCAATATGCCATCTTTTCAATCCTTCCAGAAGGCTTAGGATGACAGAGACAACAGCGAGGCCACTGTATTTGCAATATCTGCACTAATTTATTTATTTTATTGGTACATATTTGTAGTACCTAATGATTACATTCATCATGGGGAGTCAATACATGCACAGGACATTTCTTAGTTCTTTATCTCCCTCTGCTCACCTTCCTCCACCTGAGTTGCTTTATTTTTTTCTGATTGTTATAAATTGCCCAATAAAATTCCTTGGAGTCTGGAGAACTGCTCCAGAGTTGTCCTGTAAGGAAAGTACATTTTCTATAAGGAAAGTTCATTTTCATTTTACTTTTAAACTAGTGTTATGATATTGGCATCACTGCACAGGGAATTTCTACATATTACAAAACACAGACTATTTCAAGGATGTATCTATGCAGAGGGGGTGACGCATACTTACAATCTCAGCGACTTAGGAGGATGAGGCAGGAAACCGCAAGTTTGGGGGATTTGAACTACCCATGTCAATCTCATGACATTTCTCTGGCAGTTGATCAATTCCTGCTTGATCTAAAATTGGATTAGGAATTTTATAAATAATCAGTCTATGAATGCTCTAGAATTCTTAGCCTGTCCAATGATAAGATCTCAAAGAGATAAAAAAAAAAATTCTGTACTTGTCAGAATCATTTTCTAGAATCTTCCTGGAGATGAAATACTTTAGGAAAAAGCAAACATTTAACTAGCTGTGACGTGACAAGAGCAGAAAGGGCCATGTCTGAAGATTCGATGGGAGTTTGTGAAATATGGAAGCAACTGACAGGATACTTTTATTTATTTATTTTTTGCATATAATCTTTTTTTATGTGTTTAGTACAGGGTCTCACTACACAAATCAGACTCATAGTGATCCTCCTGTTTTCAGCCTTTCAAACACTGGGTTTATGGGCGTGTGCCACCACGTCCAGTTTCAGTCACTCTTGCAGTGTGTGAGGGGGGACTGGCATGGCACACTGGGGATCCAACTCTGGTCCCTGTGCTGGCCTAAGCACGCGCTTTAGTCTACTGAGCTGTCTGGCCGGCCCTCCATATAATCTTTTATAGTGATTAGAATTGTGATAGACAGTATAAGCTAAAATTATGACTGATAATATTATCATGACTATCAGACTTTTTATACTTTATGTAAATAAAAATGTGATACTATCACTTCTTTGACAAAGTTCCCAATTCTCTTAACATGAAATTTACATCATTGACTTCATTTTGCCCTTTCAGGTGCTTCAGGGGTTCTTCTGGAATACCGCAAAATTAAAGGCCAAAGAGCTTAGAATTTGAATTTGGGAAATTTGTCAGAAAATTTCAAAACTTTTGATTAAAAAAAGATTACACCAGCCACTCAGAGAGCTGAGGTGAGAAGACTGAGGGATTAAGAATTTGCTCACCTGGGCAACAGAAGAGACCCCATCTTTAAAAAACAAAAATCACAGATAGTCATTAACCAAAATGATAAAACATTTAAAATTAAATATAGAAAGTCACATAATCATAGGAAAAAAGTCCCAGCTTACTAAATAGGCTTACTAAATAATCAAAATACTTAATAAAGCTTTATTGCCTAATAAGAACTGATTAATTTTCCAAAAGAACCCTTTTTTAATATAGACAACAAAATTCTGATTTTCTTCCCCAGTATCCCTTATGTACTTCACCATGAAGCACACCCACTAAATATCTTTACACTAGGTAATGGTCTGCTAGAAATAGCTGTAGAATTTGACCTGGCAGATATCGTGATTTTCTAGTTGTATCTTTGATATTAGTGATCGATCCTTTGAAAGCTTTATCAATCATTCCTTTTAAATTTTAGCCACTGTGAGCATATAAAATTCAGAAGGGTCATCTCACAAACTTTCTATAGCCCTTCAATTGTGTGTCCTAGTCTTTTCTTCTCTCATCATGAAATAAGCGGTCACTCTACTTTAAGCCAAAAATGATTGGTCTTTCCTATAAAAGAAGACATCTTTTATACTTCATACTAAACTTTACTCACCAAACTGTTTTTCCTTGTGTGAGTTAGTTCTAGTTTCTCTCTCTCTCTCTCTCTCTCTCTCTCTCTCTCTCTCTCTCTCTCTCTCTCTCCTAATTTCTTTCTTTCTTTTTTTTTGAGACAAGTTGTCACTATGCAGATCAGGCTGGTGTTGAGCTCACTTTGTATCCCAGGCTGTTCTCAAACTTGCAATTTCTCATCCTGCCTCAGCCTATT